CAGCAGGAACAGGTTTTGGTTTTTTTAGTGTGCTAAAAATAAGATGGGAAGAGAACACAGAGATAAAATCCATTTTTTTGAATTTTATTTTTTATAAAGCTTATTTAAAAATAGATGGTTTTGACTTTTTTTTATAGAGCAAGCCAAATATTGGGCAACGTTTACAGTTTGACACTTGAGCAGATTGTGAGTCTTAATTTCTGTCTTCCAAAAGAAGTTCGCTAATCTTGTCTCTTTTTCAGCACAAAACCCTCAATCTTATAATTATCTAGGTCTTGTCAAAAGCATAATAACAGCTTCAGAAACATATTTGAAAACTGAATAAAAACTCATCTTTTTGTGGTTAATGATTGTGGTTTACCTAATTTAATGTAAAAAATTATGCTTAATACAATCTGATAGAAGAAGTGATCCTGTCTTGTGCTGGCCACAAATGTCCCCAAATATTAGTTGACTGCACTGACTTGTTCTGTTTAGTGTGCAATGAAACCATCTGAAGTAACGTTAGGACGGAAACATCATGCCCTTTGTTCAGTCAGTGCTCTGGGCCCATTGAAAAATGTCAGTATGGGCTTGTCTAAAATCATAGCAGTTCTCTGTATCCTGGCTTTTAACAAGAAATATTTCTTTCCACTACTTCATTTCCCCAGCTATATGTCTACGTTACTCTGCTGACTCTCTGGAGACAGAGGAATTTGTTAAATTGAAGCAAGTAGTGGCCATTCTGTCATGGACACAAGAGGCTTTTTTTTTTTTTTTTTTTTTCTTTCTGTAATAACTCGGTGAAGCAAGACATGAAACTCAAGTTATATAAAGAAAGAGACTGTGTCCCCGCTGTATTTTGCATGTTGATATATGAACTATAATCCATATATCAAGAGCACCTCATTAGATATTCAAGATGGATCACACATGGAAAGAGAAATATACTTTTAAGCTAGTAAGGGGTCCTTATACAGGTGGAAGGTCTGTGATTCATGATCCGAGATAGTTTTTTCAGAGCTAATTAGATGCTACTGGTTCAATTACTTAAAACCCGATCATATATTATTGCTAGCTGAAAAGAAGTTAATGATGGCAAGACATTTTTCTTCGCATGGAAGATGTGACCTGAGCTAAGAAATGATTTATTGTTGGTCATCGCAAGAAAAACTCAGAATATATCCCATTATTCTTTCTTGCTTATTAATAGGAAAATGATTCCCCTCTATCTGAGCAGATTTCTTCAATGGAGAGATAATTTCTGCATAGCTATGCTGGATAGTTGAGGAGGAAAAGTGTGTTCTAGTGAACCACCAGCAACCAGGAGATGTCACTCTAATTGCACGTCCTGAGAGACAGCAGATTGGAGAAGGTTTCAGTGGTCTCGTGTAAAGGAGCTTTTGGGTAATTTTGATAACGATTAGTGGCTCAGATGAACTCCGTGTGAAGTCTTGCTTTGCCAAGGCTCTATGCAGAGAGCTCTCTTGCATTGCAGGGTTCTGTTCAGTCCAGTGGGAGGTAATTTTGCGCAGTTAGAGGAACTTCTGCCATACGTTGGTCCTTAATTTCATGTCATTTCCTGAGGGATGGCTGGAAATGTGAGCGGCATGGTGCATGGGTAAGAGGGTAAGTGAACTCTAAACAGCTTCCTAGAAAATCCATGATTTTGAAATTGGGGGGGGGGGGGGGGGAAGGGGGTTCTTCTGTTTCCTAAACGTGCCCAACACCAACTATGAAGAAATGATAGATTTTGGTTTATTGTCTTCAGATCTGGGTGCTCTGCTGTTGACATTTAGCTGGTGGCTAGTTGAGCTATTGAAATGCTACAGTAAGAGCAACTACTAATTTTTAGCGCAATCTCTTATTCATGGGGAGTTTGTAAAATGCATCTTTAAAAGCACCATTCATAGTGCATTATTATGAGCAAGACAAAACTAAAATTCAGCCCTGCATGACTTTTTAAATGTACTTTAAGTGCCCAAAGTTACAAGCAGGCATTTTATGATGGGATCTTCTGAAATAACAATCTATATTTCCAACCTTATAAATATATATATATATATATGTATGTGTTTTAAGTCTGGCTCTGGCTTCCTAGCCAGGGTAGAAACATGCTGCTGTATAAAATCTGTGCTTGAACTACTCTTGACAGAGATGTAAGTGTAGCGGTGAAATATTCATAATGCGAACCTACATTAATTCAAGCTTTCTTGGCTCTAACAGACTCTCACATGCAGATCTATTTCCATGTGCAGCTTCCTAAGCTGTAGAACTTTCCCACGTGGTCAGGTTTCTAAAGGAAAAGCATTTCTGCTTTGAGAACAAAAGCAAGTTGGGATAGGTGGTAAGCATTTTTGTTAAAAATGGCTACCTGCAAAATGTAATGGGTAAAAAGTTACCAGACACCAGAAGCGTTTGTGCCTGTTACGCTAAGGTACTTATTAAAGCGAACAAAGCGAAGTGTGCGTTGTAGTTCGTGCTCACTGACAGCTCACAGTGTTAAGTTTAAGCGTGTCTCTTGTCAGGGGAAGTTTTGCCCCTCCCTTTGACGGGCTGACAGTGTTTATTTCTGTAATAACTGCTGATGTTGGAAACATGGAAGTATTGAACAACTTCATCTTTTCTTGCTGATGTTTCTCATTTTGTTACTTCTATTCTGCTTAGTATTGGATCTTAAAAAGTCCAGGGCCAGAGTCCAACTGAAGCAAGCCATCCTGTATCCTCCCTTTAGTAATGCATGAGCTGATTAAACTTTGATTCTTTGGGGCGAGGGGAGGATGTTTAGTGGTGCCGTGGAGTTTGAACCGTGTTTCTTCTGTTATGTGTCTTGTTTTGTAATAAGGCACTCCCTTACACGATTCTACAATCGCGGGTGGCTGCCATTGCCATTGGGCATTGCGTGTGTGTGTAATGGGCAGCTGGGCTGGGATTCTGGGACTTAATCCAACATTCAGACTTAAAAAGAAATTCTGTCATATTTCTGTTAATTGGAATACCATACTTCTAAATTGTATTTGGAATTATACAAGTCCTGGGTGGGGGGTTATAAGCATTTGTTCTACTTCATTTCAACAACAGTCAACAACTAAAACTGCACGATAGCTTAGGCTCTCATTAAACCTTTCTCAGAGAGAGTAATAAAGCATAGTGGTGGTAAAGGACGTCAAACATCCCGTGTTTCCCTTCTGCATGTGAACACAAGTTTCTCTGAGAGCCAATGCTTTTAAGGACTTGTTTCTTTTTTTTTTTTTTTCAGTCTGGGAGAGCATCTCCCTTCTACAATAATGCCTTGCTAATGGAACCCCAGCTTGAGGCCCGTAGGTTTCTTTGGTTTTGTTTGTTTTTACACTGTTCTCAAACCTTTGAGGCATTTTGGGTCTGGCATCCACACCTCAATAACCTGCTTTTGTCAGCTTTTGGGGAGCTTTAGTTAAACTGTGAAACTATTCCTCAGCTGTACGTGTTGACATTTCTTTGTGTGATTTGATGTTGCACAGTGAGGACCTGGTTATAATTGTCACATCAAGAGTAAAAATCCTGCTCAGAAAGTGGTTATCAACAGATGGAGTCATGGAGACAGTTGAAGCTTCAGTCGTCGGCAGCCCCGTAGATTTTTAGTAACTGAATAGTAGAAGGGGGGTATCAGGGTTGAGTCCCATCATTGCAGGCACAGTTAAAAATGCTGATACGAGTCCAGAGACCTCTGCCCACGAACATCATAACCTGAGCGCTTACATGGGAGTAACAGCAGGAACATCTCTAGAGAAGTACAGAGGTGAAACAACCAGTCTGTTAATGGCTATCCTCAAGATGAGAGGCAGCAGCACCAGAAAACAACAGTAATTCATTGCATAGGGAAATATGGTTCGGTGAACTGGGTGAACGCAGATGGGAATTTCTGTCAGCTAGTGTGGAAGTGGTGAGTGTTTTGAAGCTCATAATATTCCTTGGGGTCTTGGGGGACAACTCAGTTTGATCAATCATTTAGAAAGGGCTAAAAACCCTTAACGGGACCTTAGTATGAGAGAATAATGAACACAAATTAGAGAACGAAGACCTTAGTTCCATTATTTATAGAAAAGCTGTGTTCCCACCTCAGTAAGATCTGTCAGTGTCCCCTGTCACCTCCTGCTTGGCCCTTGCTTCCTTCTCCCTGTGCAAGAACGTGTGCACCCAGGCCATCAGCTGCCACCGCGGCCAGTCAGTGGGGAAGAGTCAGCACGTGCCGTGGCCAGCCCAGAGCTGTTGGCCCAGCAGAGGAGGTAGCTACTGGGCCTCTTCTTTGGTGATCGTCTTCTTCCTCAGCCTATGAGCTCTTTTTCCAGGAACTTGTAGGAACTTACCATCTCCCAACACTGCTGTCAAATTTGTTCAGTATTGGTCTGTTTGGTTCAAGAAGTTTGTGGTGGGACGGGTTGGCCAGTAGATCAATATTATGATTAACAGACCTCATTCACTTAAAAGAAAGGGTGTTTTTCAGTGTTAATGCTATTTTTTGATGCATTTGAGAATGTTTCCCCTTTCTCAGTGGTTTCCTTGTTTGGGCTTTTTGGGAAAAAAAAAAAAAAAGGAAATGCGATTGTGAAATAATTCTAAAGAAAGAGATTGCTTTAGATTTGGTTTGCTGCTTGATTTTTTTCACTTTGACACAGATGAGTGAACTCACTTGTGATACTAAAGGTCCTACGCTAAGTGGTACTTGTTCAGGATAGCCGTATGGACTCCTGTATTTGCTATGCACAATGAGGGCAACATTAACAGTATAGCGGGGTTAGCTTCGTTGTTCTGCCTTTGTTATGCAAATAATTTGCAATACTAAAAATAGAAAATTTCCACCCCTTTTGGGATAGAAGCAAATCTAAGCCAGTTGTGATGTTTAAGCACCATTCATGCTTTATAGGACGATTACTTACCAGAAGCAAAGCTT